TGCATCTCATGAGTGAGATAGAGTTTTCCACCCCAAGAAGCTTTTCCTGGGGATATCATTCAAATATGGTTGCACCCGGGAGTTTCCACCACATCACGTTGCCAATTTCATCATGCCAATGCACAAAATTATGCAGGTCTCGTCTGCTGAACACTCTCTGATGGAATGCCTGATGCGACGGCTGCCACAAACTCCTCAAATAAACACCAGCCATTCGGATTTCCACCTCACACTCCCGTCGGACGGAAGCGCCATGGCTTTTCCTTGCCAAAGCTGCCGCCCTCACACTCCGTCTGCTCCCGCTGGCTTTTTCTCACAAGGTGAATTTTCCCATTGCCAGTGAAAAATCGTCCGCAAACACGGTATTTGCGACGAGAGAGAAAAATACCTCATTGCGGAAATTGATGCGATGCGGCGGAGAAAAAAAGGAAGGGAATGTGAAGGAGAGCAAAAAAACAAGCACTTCAAATCAAAATAACTTCAACTGTAATTAACAACAAATTGCCTTGACTTTTGACTTTTCCCACCCTCCTCCCATCCTTGCGCCCAGAACAGCCTCAACTCTGCAGACTGATAAGTATTTCTATGTATAACTGACATTGTATACGCCACTCATCCTCCGCGATGGCTGGCAAGAGAGAGCTTTTGGTGTGAGCTTTCGTCTCACTTCGCCACAATTGCGAGAGCTCCGCCTCAGCAACTCACACTATCATCACTTTTATGCACTTGTAGTGGTTATTTTCAGCTCACAAACACACGCAGCTCGCTTTCCACCACACCACGCCATCTATTAGACGTACTATGAAATACCAGCTGCTCTCTCTCTCACCTTCCCTCTTCGTCGCACCCACAAGGCAGAGGGCAAAGTTCCCGAGGGAAGAATATGCACTTGTCGTGAGTTTTCCTCCCAAGGAGATACACATCATGCGGAAAAGCTGACAAAAGCTCCCGAAGCTTCCGCCGAAATGACAACGGTTTCTTACGTAACAGTTTTTATTGCGCAAAACTTTGTCTTTTGTCTGACGACACAACACACAAAAAGTCACATTTGATTAATTCGAGCGATAGCAATTGGGTTAGAGATATTTCTATTTTGGGAGCTTTTCTGCTAAAAGCGAAAATGTTCTTGAGATACAAGAAAGAGAGACAATCATCGTTAGAATCAATATGAATATTCAAAATATTTGAACTTTCTAATTTGTCAATAAATAAAGTATAGAAAGAACTCTTGAATATTCAACTTACTCCATGAGAAACAACACGATTCAACTCTTGGAACTTTTAAGCAATGCCGTGAAATCTTTCTTCGCGACATTGCATTGAAAACTTTTCTCATAAAAATACTGCAATTTGTGCAAACTTTTGCACAAATACACCTCAAAAACTTAAACAATCTCCAACGACGACATATACGTGAAGTTTCGAGGCATAGATAAACCCCATCGTGCTCTCTCTGCAAAATTCATTATTCCCATTTTCCGCTTGATGATGAGTCAAGCCGCGAAATTGCCGCCTTCTTCGCATCAGGTAACATCTCTCCCAAGACTCCCGAGCTCATAAGGCGACACATCCACATGAATTTTCATGAGAGATCTTGAGCCAAATTTAATAAATACCTTTCTAATTTATAGCTCTGGCGCAAATAAATCCTCATGTGGCGAAAATCCCACCACCGAGGGTGCATTTGACAAATAGAGACGTGAAATTGCACTCATTTGATCCACCTCGATGGCCTCCACACCCTCTGATGGAAGGTGAATCACCCACCTTGCCTCTGCAGGGGATGGGCCTGGAAAAACATGGGCCAGAGGGAGTTTTTCCGAAGACTCCGATTGCCAGGAGACTGTCCGAAGGGAGAAAAGCAATTTCGTGTCACTGATGGGGTTGTTTTTCTCAGAACACTCATTCACCTTCTGCATTTTTTACCACCCACCCGACACTCGGGGGTGCGGCTGTGGCAAATTGGGAGCCACTGGATGGAAATTGATATCTCGCCGTTATGTTCTTGGTGAGAAAATCACGTCTCATCGACAGCTGACGCTCGAGTGCGATTTAATTTCACATCGTGTGACATCTCTGTGAAAATTGTGCATACAAATGGCCAGAGTATTTGCCATCATGGCACACTGTCATCAGAAGATGACGGAGGTTCATTCCACCCCGACTTATTCCATCTTTTCGCCATTCGCGTGCGCTCAAGATGCTGCATTTTATTTTTGGTGCCATGCCATGACATTCTTTTAGCAACATGATAACACATTTCCCATCCACCCAAAAACCCACGAGACGACGACAAATCTATTCTTGGATGCGTGAGGCAAAAAAAACGTCCAATTCTTTGAACATCTCATTTTCGTGTCTGATTTCGCCTCGAAATGCTCGTCGAGGAGCTCCATGCGAGGAGGAGCCATCATTTCTCATCTGGATGAGGAGATTGAGGGTCCTCAGAGGCGAAATTTGCCACGTTTCTTCCATCCAATTGATGTGAGAAAAACAACTTTTCCCAGGCGAAAAAGTTTCGTCTGCGTGCATGGATGGCAAAAGTTATCAAGGGCCATGATAGCTTGTGGTGACTCAAAAAAAAAGAATTATCAGTAGATATTGCGCGAAATAATGAGGCTTTTCGACAGCTCAAGTGTGCTGCCGCAGTGCCGGGAGAAAACACAGAAGGTCTCTGAGAATGGGGAAGTGTGGAAAATGTGCACTCAGATCAGAAATTGCATGGATTTGCATGAAAGCTCAGCGCTAGAGGGCACCAGCATGACCATAGTTTTAAGGTAATCAAGAAGGGAATTGTAAAGCTGATTTAGAAATCTTATATGAAAATTGCATGTGAATAATTCTCGCAGCTTGACAGAGTGGTTTAAGTGAACAAAGCGATCCATTACTTCTGACTCACTATATGAAAATGGTAAATAAATTTCTATTATATGAAAATTTAATTGACTTTACGCACCGTCAGCATTTTAAAGGCAATTAGGCTTAAAATCAACATCTAAACATCTCAATTAATTACAAAGTGCCCACAAAGTCAGACCGCATAACTATTCCATTTTCAAGCAAAATGTTCTACTAAAGACACCAAGAAAGACACTCTCTGAAGGCGGGTTAAAAATTCATTGGCCATTTGAGCACATTGTACGGATTGTAGGGGGGAAAAATACAGAAGAATTATCAATATAATTGCACGGCGTCATGGTGAGTTTATCAATTGTGTGGAAGACACTGGCGATGAGATAAAATGGAGGAGTTTATTGGAATTGCTGCCGAGAGAGACAAATTTCTTATGCTAAGAAAAAAATTCTCGCCAAGCTCACAACTTTTGCCCCCGAAGCCATTGAAAGTGTGGGTGGGAGAAGAGACGAAAAGTCTCAAAGGATGTCGCATGCAAATTACCCCAACAGTGTCCCCAAGAAAAATTTATCTCGTCGCAAAGCTCCCGAGGATGAGGAAAATAGATTAGACGAGGGATTCTCAAGTCTGTGTGCCATTTTGCGGATGAAAAACAGCAAGATGAGAAAATTGGTAGAAAATCACGGAGGAAAATACCCTGGAAGAATTTGAATGAAAAATTCATTGTGTTGTTTTCTGTGTGGGTTTAGTTTTTGGGTTTGAGGCACACGCTGCCGAGGGTGTGGGTGACTCTCCTCCGTGTCTCCCACCACTAATAAATTAAATGATGTAGTCAAATTTATGGCGTCTGTGTCTTCAGGGTCTCATTACAAATTTTCCTTAAAATGTATGGTCTTATAATATTTAATAAATTGGGGGAACTCATCACAACACGTCTCCACAATTTTCTTCATCCTCCCACACCTCTTATCGCCCTGGATGGGGCGTACCAAGGATAAAATGAGGAGGATTTTGCTGCAATTTCATCGACTTCCTGCCTTGAGAATTTATGTTTCACCGCATAGAGCAAATTTATTCCGAATATCGTGCCTTCCATAGTTTCAAATCTTAAGTCATATTTTGTGGCTTTCACTATGATTCGCTCCATCTTTTCCCTCTCTCTCTCTTCCCCTCTCCATCGCACAGGGAAATTTAACATTTTTCCCAGATAAAGAAAATCCCCCCGAGAGAAAGACATTGAGATTTTTCCTTTGGATGGAAATTCAAAAAAAGACGAAGAGAAAGAGCAAAGAAAAAAAACGACACACACGGAGAAATATTTGTGGTGATGAAATAGCAAACGCGAGTGTCTATTCTTGAGGGCCCGAAAGGATGGCTCATGGGGGTGGGTATTGCGATGGAAAAGATGTCACGTAGATATTTTATTTATTTATAAAATAAATTCATCCAACCCCATGCTTTTCATATATTGTACTGGAGAAGACGGAGCCCAAGGAGAGAAAAACACATACAATTTATTCCCATGGTGAGAGCACCAGAGAAGGGCATATATTGGGGGAGAAGAAAAAAAAGGTATAACTCGAGACAATTTGATGTATCCAACCCATCGTTGGGATGGCAAAACACGAAAGCCATAGAAGAAGTTTAAGGGTAAATATGGTAGACTTATTGGTCACGTGAGCAACAGGAAAATATCCTCAGGGTCTCCCTGAGAGATGCTTGTTTTTCGTGCATGTCTCCCACCCACCCCACAGCCCCCTGCACATGCCAATACACCACCTCCGCCAGGAGGACACCCACGCTTGAGGTAAGAGTTGAGCCAATAAGAGATGAACCCCTGAGGATGCACGGAGAGAATTCACTCTAATTCGATTAAGCTCAATTTGTGTGACACGAGAGGGAGGGTGGATGTAATTTCTCTTTCTGGCATCGCAAGAAAGGTCCCCCATTGACTTTCATCACGAATCATCCACCTGAGAAATCAGCGCATATCTTATCACGCCGTCTCTTCCCCCCATTGTTGCATTCAGCTCAGCTTCATTAATGCAATTGGTGTGCTTCTTAATTGGCTCGACGAGCGAGATAAAAACCCGTCTCAGGTAGACAATTTATGCACAGTGCGATTCCCCCTTTTGCCATCGACTTACCACCATTCCGCCCCGAAGCTCCCTCGGCGCAGCGGTCACATTAATATCCATACTTTGTCACCATCTCCAATCGGGAGGCCGTCTGTAAGAGAAGACACATAAGATAGAATAACTCGCAATTGTGTCCCATTTTCATGTTTACCAATGGTCTTATTAAAATAATTCCCCGCTTGAAAAGAGCGCCTAAATGAGGGGATGTCAGCAGAAAATCAACTTGTTTCACAATGTTATATCTATTTATTTGTTTATCAGTTTGTCTCTCGCTCTTGTTGTCTTCCTCGTCACCACTGCCTATCGGCCAAGACGGCCAGTTTAAACGTCGAACGCCTTGAAGATGTCGAGGAGAGTGGATTAAATGGCGACGATTTATTTATTTATTATCTCTTTTCATATTTACTAATTCACCAAAGCACGACACTCTTGGGGGAAATTGAACGAAATTGACGCCAACTCCAGAACAATATGTGGTTTTGTTAACCATCGCCAGGGAAAGCCTTCGTCAGCCACTGTGATGGATGGAGAATTCTTGATGAATTCCGTCCACTTGAGGGTTAAATGTCCATTGGTTTATCGCCTCGAATGCCAAGAATGGCGTGTGAAGCATTGAAATCTCTGCACGTTTTCTGTACACAGTGTCTTTGCTTTTTATGAATCACCCAATAAATTAGTCGATTTGATTTCCTTAACAGGGCAGAGAGACTTGTCGGAAGTCTTGGCAATTCGCGCTGGACAAAAACCAAAGATTTACGCAATAGAATCCATTTTTCACTAATTTTATTGATCACAAGATGCCGCTATTCTGACTCTGGACGGAACACGCAGAAAAAAACAGTAAATATATTGAATATTATAGTTTTGGGTAGCCTATTTCTCCGAAAATGTCATTCATCTTTCTGTGCTCGCAATACACATAGGCCCGGAGATGGCAGAGGAGGAGGACAAGCCTCAATATTGGATTCAATAGTTGGAGCATCTGTAAATTGCTGAGACGAATCCACTCGTGTCGACATGAATGTGATGTGGAAATATTTCATGGAATTTCATCAATTTTATCAATTTGCTATGCTCCATCGGCATAAGCATATGGCTGTTCTGATGACGATATGATCAGAAAATAAATAAATTGCCCCGAGTGCAGATGGATGGAGGAGCACAGCGAGAACGTGTCTAGAAAGTGTGACGTTCATTGATAGATAAACTGTAAGGTGTACTATTGGCCTCTCTATCCTTGTATTTATTTATTGAACTCCCTTCTCATTGGGGCCTCTTTCTCCATCAGCCCAGCCAAATCCCTCCTCGGGCAGGTGGACTATGGCAAAAATTCCATTTCTCACACCACCAGCCAAAGAGGAAGTTCTGCCATGAAGGCATATGGGCGAGAAAAGTGCGATGGAAAATGCTCTAGCAGCAATATTTTGCGCTCTAGCGGGAAAATTGCATGTGACATATTTGTACGTGAGAATTATTGAGTTTTCCACCCAGAACTTCCCCAGGGAAATACATGAATGTTCCCTTTGCGAAAAAAGCAACCTCTCCACTACAAATACACACTGAATCATTCAAAAGGGGGAAACTGTGTTCTCTGGAAAAAGAATTTCAGGGTGAATGAATATTTTAATGGAGTTCCATGTGAATATTCTACCTCATTCTCCGACTCTCAAACAGAAGCCGACTTGACGCTAACCATTTTCGTGATATGATTTTGTAGCACTCGTGTTGCTCTCAAGGTGAATACTTGTTTACAATTGCCGTACAAACATCTGATTCGAAAAATGATAACACTTAATAAATCAACAAATCAAAGAAATGTCTGGAATTTCCACTAAAGAAAATATGAATCGAAATCAAGTTTATATTATGCCTCAAACATCGAATCACTCAGTGGACATTTAAACCGTCGCAATGTTTTCCCACTTGTTTTTCCTCAAAAACTCTTTTCACCTTGAAAGTGGTCTTCAAATGAATTAGCATATAATGGGTCAAAATATGTATATTACTCAGAGAAACACGAGCCTCCAACTACGTTAAAATACTCATGCAAATTGGGCATTTTTTTCTCTCTCTCTCCCCAGAAACTCGCAGAGAAGTGGAAAATTTGCAGAAGCTCTGCGAGTGGAAAAGTTTCATCCCATGCGAATTCCGCTGTGATGAGACTTAACCCTCTGGAGATTAACACAAGTTGAAGACGCTCTTCATTAAGTGGAGATGTTTTCTGGGCGGCTTTTGGGGATGAGTGAGGGAGCTCGCATTTTAACCCTTCAATATGGGAGCGGGTGCGCATGTTTGGCTGTCCGGGGGTTAAAATGGTTGCCATTTTCCTTTGGGGTGATCTTTTTTCATCACCCCGAGTGAGAGAGAAACATCATCCGGAATGTTGGTGCCAAAATAGTCCATTCCGATTGTCAATGGGCCCCCGAGAATCTGTGGGTATAATTCAGCATCATCATCAAACGGAATAAGGAACATTGCCTTCTAAATATTTATACACTTGTACAGGCAGTCGCTTAGAGGCCGCACTCGCGCTATTTATTTACATTTTGCCGTATAAAATTCATGGGAAAAAGACATATTTATAGGGTGGGAAGGGGAGGTGGTGGTGTCAGTTTATGAACATCAAAACAGAAAAGATTTTTTCTTGTTTACACCACTGGCCTTTCTTTTGCCTCTCTTCAAACGCCAACTCCATCAACATCGATGATGTTGAGTGACTATTCGATACTGTGAATAGACGCTCCTCACCGTTACGCACTGAATTTCCCTCAGCGGAAAATTCTCCACCCGCAAGTGCTCATGATGGTTCGGGATTAAAGTTTGGCATAAATTCACTCGTCTGTGAAATTATTTCAGGAGCCATACCGGAGGCTGATATTTTCGCATATGCGGAGCTCATATATTGCGATTCACCTCTTTCACGATTGCCGGATTAACTCTCATGCACGATTTTCCTACCGAAAATGAGAAAAGTTTGGTGACTCCACTTCAGCCAAATAATATGTTAATTGGATAATTTCGGTGGCTTCAGCAAAACTTGCCATCATACTTTTCGTGTCAATCTTCTCCCGGCTTTTTAATTAAAGCGCTCACAATCTCGCAAGATTATCATATCACATCCCGCAGATGATGATTTTCTTACGGAATTTTCCAGCAACTATGACGGAAAAAATTCTCCCCACCGCAACACACATCTCTAGTGGAAGAAATTGGAGTGAAAGGCTTTGAAACTTCCCAGAAAAATCACACAAAAAATTGATTTTTACTGCCATGGGCAATAAATATACACCCTTTTCCTGTTTGCCGAGTGCACCAATTCTCAACTGCCGTGAAGAGCATGAATTGTGGTGTCTTGGAAAATATTTACAGAACATTTGCCATTGTCCTTTGGTGGCTTCTGAGCAGAAAAAAGGGTGCACGCGCTCCCAAAAAAAGGAGATACTCCCGTTATATTCTTGTGAAAAAGACCCAGAAGAAGAATGAGTTGTTATTAAAATTCTTCTGAGAGACTTTCACCACTGGAATTGCATTTTGAAGTCTGATGAAATTCTGCAGCAGAGAAATCACACTGCAATGGAGAGTCATTCAATTTTCTGCGAAATCCCCCAATTTCATCCCGAAAGACGCTGGCAATCCTTTCATCGGTGGGTCATTTTTCAGCAATGGCCACATTTTATCGCGCCAGCAAGATGAGGACTTCAATGTCTGACTTCCAGAATCATCGGATGGGATAAATAGCCATAAATTGGATGTGTCTGGACTTTGGCGTCTGGCGCAAAATTCCATCTCGCAATGCAGCGAGAGATGATGTTGGAGAAATGCCAAGGAATTTCATCTCGAGAGTGCATCCTCCCGCCCGCCTCATATTATCTGCATACAACTCTGTTACCAATATTTCGCCGCCAAGAAGACTCATGGTGAATAACAAACACAGGAAGCCTTGGAGCCGAAGGGTTTGCAATTTACATGGCGCAGCAAATTTCCTCACCCGAGAGACTATGACAACGCATTGCGGAGTTGGGATTAAGACGGTCTCCGACGGCCTGATTGAATGGGCCAATTTGGCTCATCTCTCGGGGATTTACCTCCATCTGTGCGGATTTAATTTTGGCAAATATTCAAAGCCGTCGGCGTGGCACTGTCCGAAAAATCGATGCCCGAATATTCGACAGGAGCACTGAAAATAGCGTCTAACATCGTCTCAAACTCAAGTATGGCAGTCTAATGATGGTGGCAAGTGGGTGGATACAAGCTCTCTCTCTCTGCATTTCTATTGATTTCTCTGATGGTGTCGTCACAAATGGCCTCAGAAGTCACCCATACCACTTCGACACATTTCGGTGTGCGTCACTCGCATTTTCTAACAGTGTAGCGCGAGCTTTTGCTCCTGCCCGGCGAAAGCCCATCACGTGAATTCTTCCTGGGGGACTCACAGAGGCTCTCGCGGTGGGAAAACTCCAGGATTTTCCCCAAACACAGGACGTCTGAGAGACGGGCAAAGTCACTGGGAGAGAGATACTTTTGGGTGTGTTGGTGACGAATTAGTTCGCATGCTCAGTCAATGAACTTGTCGGTTTGAAATTTCGATTTCGTGCCTCACACTTCCCTGCTCGTGCACTAGATGGAATCACTGGTCCTACAGTCGGACTCCAATTGGAAAACACAAAAGCCTCACCTCATATCCTGTGCCACTCCCCTTGAGCACATCCCAAATCCAAGAGGATCGCCGAGAACACACGTCTGCTGCACCACAATTGCACTGCTCTAGTGGCGGAGGCACAGTTGCAGTCTTATTAGAAAATGCAATTGAAAATCATAATCAAGAGACTTTTTCGCCAAGGCTGAATCAGTTAATGGAGTCATACAGACCTTATCAGCCAATGTGTGGTGCCATAAAACACCACCAATAAAATTCATACCGCAAAAATGGGTTGATTTTCACATCATGATATCAATCTGAGGAAAGCCAGCCAGCCCTTTTGTGCCGCCGAGCTCAAAATCAATTTCCGATAACACTTATCGCGCCAATTTCGCTCAGGTATTTTTCTCAAAGCGTGGAGAAAATTGCATAACCCACCATCAACATCTCTCCTCGGTCGATTTGCATGCAAATGGCTAAAGGCATTTGCCCCACTTGCCAGAGAAAATGCTGAGAGCAATAGAGGAAAAATTATATCCAACAGTCTTTGGTAATTTCCTGTTAATCCAATTTGAAAGAGTCTCCCAAGTTCATACGCCCGTGAAGGAATTTTCTTCCTCCTGACACTCTTCTGGCTCAACACTTTCCGAGAATTTGATCGAGGGGCTGGCAATTCGTGCAGAAAAGGCGGGACTTCCTTTCATGAGGATTTCCTGCTGTGACTCTTCACACCTTGAAGGCGGTAAAAGAGTGATTATTAGCATTTATTTTTTTTATTACGCCAATTCTCCTCTGAAAAGGTTGTGATACGTTTTCAGTTCCTGTCGCTTAGCCTCAATTGCATTAAGTTGGAAGCCCCTGCAGGAATTTCCTCCGGCAATAGCGAGCTCTGATGGATTTCACGCGCCACTTGTGCCACATCTACCTTGAATTTTCCTCCTATTCGCGTCAAATTTCCCATTAAATGATCAGGAATTTTCTCAGGCTCATCCAAGGAGACACGGAAGATTCACCTCATCCAATGGCACCAGTAATTCTCGGGGAGGGTGGAGGACAGATGTGAAAATGCAGAGAAATTTTCCGTGGATGCGCAAACGAAGTGCGGCTGCATCTGTGCGCAAGGGATGATGTTCCGCATAGAGAACATCGGATGAATCCTCGGGCAAATGGGCCCTGCGCAGAAATGGCCGACTGGGAAACATGGCGAGAGCCGCGCTTATCAATTCCATTCCCATGGCCCACCCTTGGACGAGCCATTCGGGGCCATTTAGCCGGAGGAATTCTCATGGGTGCCCCCGGCTATCGGGCTCCCGGAATTCCAAAAAACACTCACGTCTCCCCCACTTGATGGTGATTTTCCTCGCGGGAAAAATCCTCTCTCGCATATGGCCGGAATAATCCAAATTTACGATACGATTCCCTTTCATCTTGGCACGCACGTTTCGAGTGCCTTAATTTGTTTATCAACAACGTGTCAAGATTAGCGCCAAAGCGCGCTGTCTTCAATTGGATGCTCACGCAGATAGATTAATAAGCCGTTGATTTAGAACTCCTTTGTCGAGGGATGGACCAGAAGCCTTTTCCGGACGCTGCGCGATGGGAGGAAAAATCTCAGGCCACTGGAAAGTGTTCAATTATGTCATAAAAGTCTATAAATAATGAAAATTGAGTTGTTTGGATGAAAAAAGTGGAACGAAATCGAAACCAACACGACAGAGGGGAGCCCAGAATGTTAAGTGTAAACTTTGTCTCGAGATGTAGACAATAAATTACTTGAATAATTTCGTGTACAATATTTTTTAAATACTGAAAATACAAGAAGAATTCACTGTACTTTTATCTTGCTTATTTTCGCTTCTCTTTCTTGTTGTGTTTCATTTAAATCTCCACTAAGATTCATTGGATTTTGTATCAATTTTATCATCCGGTCCTTCATATTTCCTCCCTAAAATAGGATTTATCTTTCGACTAAATAATAGAAAGTTCAAGAGTCTTGACTTAAATAATTTACGAGAAAAGTTTTACAAACTCTACTCACTATTGCAATCGAACATTTTATTTTGACGTGCTTTGATTTCTTATTCTTTCTTTTCCACGGAAAAATTCCACAGCCAGGAGCTTTGCGGAGGAAAGATTACACGTCAGAGACCATCTCTACTCACGGGCAGAGTAAACATTGCTTGTGATTGTGTTGCTTTATCACACGAACGCCATTCACCAGCACCAGGATCAATTAGTTTCTTAAGTAACTCGGAAAAAATTGCTTCAATAAAATCCATCTCCCCTCAGCCGCCGCAGAATCTCCCTGCACATCCTGCGGAATCCTCGAGAGTGTGGTGAAAAAATCCCCAAATTTATGGACATATGAAGGGGTCTTGGGAGCAACAAGAGGATAACATCGACTGCTGGGAAATTTGCGGTGATGTTTTCTCCGCACTTTCTCGAGTGTTTCCATTCAATTAATTTCGCGGGTGGATTTTAATGGGGGCTCTCTCGTTCGCCCTCGCCGAGGGGTTTGGGAATTCAATTAAAACGCTGAAATGAGATTTCTCCGCAGAGCGGATTTCTGGGAATGAGGAGAAAAAAAGTTTCTTGACCTTGGCACAGCGTTGGAAATCATGTGTTTCTCTGGCGTAACACTGTTTGTGAGATTATGAGCTCTAAACCAATAAAAATGTGGACAAAAAATCAGAGGTTCTTGTGGGTTCACAAGAAGGGTTTTCTGTGGACGAAGGCCCAATTTTTTGCTGGATGCACCAATTTTTTCAGTCACCCATTGTCGAGCATGAATAAGTGCTATACGAGAAATGTATTATGGAATGGAGGGCAGTGTTGAGGCAATAATTGGTCTCAAGAATGTTCCATGAGAGAAAGCAACAAGGATCGTAAAAGTTCATGGCAAAAATTGCTGTTTATGCTCTCTCTCTCTCACCCCCTCAAAATTCCATATTACACACACCCTTTTGGGAAAATCCCCCGAGAATGGAATTTTCGAAATAAGATCTTCTATTTGAAATAAATAAAACCACATCTATTTCCATACTGTGTCGCAGTTAAACCCCTTTTCCCATCGCCCAATAAATTTCCAGCGGAGCTTTTCTCCGGGCTCTTTATTGTCAGCATTGCCATGAATAAATTTGCCATGGCTAGAATGCTTTCTCCACTCTGTGTCAAATCAATTGGGGAATAAATTGTGAAAATTTAATGGCACAACATTCCGCCAGAGAATCCTACAAAATTGATCCTCATGCTAATTTTCCTCTTCGCAATTGCCGGACAATTTAATGGATGGTGGCCATTTGAAAGAAAATAGCGCTGAATTAAGTCCCAATGGAATCCCATATAATAAGAGGAAAGAAAATTCATGGGGAAAAGCTCCTCTCTCTCTCTCTCATTTTCATAAATTATCTCCTCCTGCCGTAGCGTGAAAGCTCATGAATTTCCATTGAAAATCACAAGTACAGGATGGAATTTCACCCTCATTGCACAGTCCGGGGGTGCGAGGGGGGAGGAAATTCAATTGGGTGGATGCGGAAATTTCGGAAAATTTCTGCCCTGGTGTGGGTGTTTGTGGACATAAACGGAACTTGTTATGCATGGTATTTTGCTCACTAGATTATTTACAAGTGGGTGGTGTGGGTGGCCAAAGAAAAGCCATGGAAGAGCACGTTCGTCGACGATGGGGCGTTTTTCCTGGGTGCCACGAAAATGGATGAAAGGAAGTGAATTTTCCTTGCGGACAAACATGGAGGGGAAATTTTATGAAAGTGACTTTTGGGTGGGAAGGAAAATGTCGAGGATATTCATCACCATCTCACCAAATTTGCTCTGTGGAGAGTATCCGAATTTTCCCAGAAAATTCCAACTTATGTAACAACAAAAAACAATAAAAGATATGTTGGAACGTGATGTTTGCCCTGAGAAATTTCACCCCCACACGAAGGGAGAAAAGCACACACATAAGCGAGCTTATGTGGAATTGCATATGACTTGCTGGATGACTTGCAATCAAGACAGAATGTCTTTTGGCTTCTTTGCATAAATTTCCATGCAGCTGTAAAATTTCTTACATAACTCAACAACACATGAGCTTTCGCCAAGAATTGTCACTCAAAATGATCTGACATTTGCTGCGGTGGAGCGCTGGAGGAAATTCCTTGAATAAATTCATACCCACAGAATACATTTTCCAATTTCTCTAGCACAAAACAAGTTAGAAAAGAACTCATTTATGGTTGAGATTTTCAGTTAACTTTGAGCTCCAAATTACACCCAGTGTAAAATCTGTCTCTGAAAAACTTCTCAGACGCTTTTCATAAAATTTCCACTCTGTAAAAGGGATTTCGAGCACGCAAATTGACGCCCAAGAATACGCTGTCGTCTCTAAACAGTGGAGGAGGGCTAAGAGATACCAAATGACGGTGAATTATGGTAATCTCTTGTCTCTCCATAGATTAGAGCTTTTCACTGGTGCGACTACCCATGGTGAAATCTCACCTTATGGCACAATTATTTGGCGCTCAATCGCTGCTCCGGCGACAATGCCAGCCCCAATGAAAAGGTGTTGGATGCCGTAAAGGCTCCATGTGACAGGAATTTTAATTAAGAATCTCATTATTTGAAACGGTGAGAAGCCTTCAATTTAGCTTAATTGTCGATATCGCCAAAATATCGCCAATTTATCCCTTTCAAGCGCCACGGGGGGTGAAATTGCTCACGATGATCGCATGAATAGACCATGTTTACACCTTTCATCAATTCCAGCCGCCCCTCCTACCCCCAGAAATTCCCACCCGGCCAAAATGAGAGTCTCGCAATATTGACAAGAGAGCACTCAGGCGGGCTGGGGGCTCAGTTTACGTTTATATTTTTGCCTCAGTGTGACTCTCTGGATGAAAGTTTATTTGCACTCTTGTGCGCCGTAATTTCGTGACTACACAATTTTCCGCCCCAAAACAAGTTTTCTGCTGCAGAATATTTGTTGCTTTCGGGGGACCCTGGGGGGTGGCTGAGGGACGTGATGGGGCGGAAAGATAGTCATTTGGACTTGTGCTTGCACCTTGACTATCTCTTTCCCTCTGCCATTTAGCTACACTGAAAAATATCTCAGCGAAGAAATTGATTTTTCCTTCA